ATTTTGTACTCTGACATAGTTTATTATGATATGCTGGTTTTTAGACAAACAAGTTTTATAATTAATAATTAAAAATGAAATTTTTGGCCTTACATTTTGGGATGTTACAAACTAATTTTTTTTATGTTCAACTTGGATCCTTTGATATTTCATCATATGGAATCATCTTCCTACTTTATCCATCACATAACACCCTTCAGATACTGCTCTTTAATCATCAAGCTATCACACCTTGGAGTCTTATTTCTTTTGTCACCCTCATCATGTTCCCTTTGTAATCTTAACTTTTTATCACAATCAAGGAAGTTTTAAGAAGGGCATACAAAGTTCCTCTGTTAACTTGTTCATCAAGATAGTCTAGTACCATAAAGTAAAGTACTCTCATGTTCTTATCATCGATACTTCTTAGTTTCCATTATTTGCATGATTCTATACGGTCTTCATATTGTTTGTATTCTTTCAGACTCAAGAAATGCCTTCAATTATCTTTTACTACTCTTATTTCCTTGTAATGACTTCATACACCAGCCTAGTGTGTTCGATCAACACATAATTGCTCACCTTTTTCTAGTGTCCTGGTTTCATAAGTACACCACTTCCATAGCTACAATCACACTCAACGTCTGATTTTGTTGTCATCTTGTCATCAACTCCTTAGGATCCAAAAAGATCTTATTGAGTCATAAACATCAAGCTCCTTCCCAAGCTGTATCGGTCACGTTTTCGTGCACCATCTTGCTTTTATTCATCATATCACTCTTTCACCAACTTAGCTATTGGCTCGCCTTACAGTGTTAATAATCACATCAAATCATTATCTTTCATCTAAGGATGGAATTCATGATTCCATTCCATTCATTTCTCAATCAATTGACTTGTAACTTGAAGTTATCACTCTTACGTTGTAACATAAGCTCGTCCCCAATTACCAAATCCAACTAATTTTCTTAATCATAACTTTAGAGTTCCAGTTCTTTTCTCATTTTAGACTTTTTCCAAAATCCAACAATGTCCCGTTTGAGCTAAATGTTTGCTAACAATTAAGATAACTCAATTTAATTCATTCATTGGCGTTTCTAACGTATTACCTATGATACTAAAAGGGTATAAAAGCAATTTCAACCATATATCAATTTTATCCTAGTAATTTCTCATTTTCATACTATTTGTTTGACTTTGACAAAAAGTCAAAGCTACCAAAATTTTCCAATATCAATTAACATGTATTATATTCCTTCATGACTCTTGTTTAATACAAAGAACGTGTTCTTTAAGACCCTAACTCACCCGAATCCTTACCACATTTCACAAAACTACTTCATAAGTTTGTGTATGTATCATGTGTTTATAATAGTATGGGCCCTATACTAGTATAACCGCATCACACATAACTGACCTTGGCTTCACCACTTTGGAGGTTCTAATCCACTTGTTTAGATATTCCATACACTAGTTTTACTTACATTGCTTACTATAGAATCACTCAATGTAGTATTCTATGATTTCATCTAGACTTGTCCAAAGTGTCGTAAGCATCTAACTATGGAAATTCTTATCATCATTCATTGCATATGATACTACCTACATTAAGGCATAATAATCCTATGTATCATTCACACTTTTCATAACCAAAGTTAGGAGTGAAATGATCCAATCCTAATTCGCTTAAACTATGCCTTTGATACCAAACTGTAACACCACAAAAAAAATTGAACTTTTTCATACTTCGGTTTTAAAAACATTCAGGTCTTAACCCACATTTAACAAAAACCGGTCCCATAAAAACATTTAAAAATTAAAGCATTAGGTATTACCATTAAGCATCAATATAACCATAGCAAGCAAATATGTATAACATCAATATAATTAACAATGAACTTAACAAGTTCCACTCCGTTCTCTATCACTTGACTTCTAACTTCCATTTATCATCCTCTCTCCTTAAGTACAATCCCGGAATACATGGCATAAAAAAGAGATAGGTACAACAATAATGTCTCATGAGTTATGCGGGTTTGTGACCCAAAACATTTATCACATTTTCATCAAAAACATTTCATTTTTACAAAACATGTATTTTCAAGCATTTTCAAGAAAACTCTGTTCATACATATCATAAATATCATTTCATATATTACCATTTCATTTTAGAAGATATCTTTTCTCATTCCATTCTGTATCAGAATATTTCATTAGTCATAATGTAATTCAAGACATTTATTTTCACATTCCATTCCATATTTCATTAAGGGATAATTTCATAGTTAAATCGTTTCCATATTTATACTTAGTGCCTAGCAATATCCCCAAGTCCATACCAAGGTGGAAAGAACAAATCAATCCACCAAGGCGTCATTTACATTAGGACATCTATCTCGAGAAGGGGATGCGTCACCCTGATAGATTCCTCTATATCCTGTTACGGGACATCATGGCTCGAGCAAACTATTCATTTCATTCCTTTCCAAGTCTTTTCATTACTTCCCATTTCTTTTCAATAATTCCTCTTTCTTTTCATTACATTCCACTTCTTCTCATTCCTTTTAATTTCTTGTCATTATTTTCCATACTTTACACATTTCATACATTAGTATCAAAAACTAATTTCAAAAGTAAAATATCTATATTTCAAAACAGAAACACATTTTCAAAACATTCTATCTTCAAAAATGTTCTTTTCTTTCAAAAACATCATTGCCTTCAAGGCATTCTTCCCAAATATCCTTTCCAAAAATATTTGACATTTTCATTTCAAAAACATTTCATATATCAAAAATTAGTTTTTCATCATCAAAAATCATTTTCCCATGTACCCCAAAGTGGGAAAATTCTAACAGGTACTCACCCCAATCACACGTAGGTTAGCTAATGTTCTTCTAGTTCCGCTCCCTAGATCAATCATCTATAAACACTACATACGCCATATATGGATATAAGTCATTAAAATGACCAAAATATCCCTCATAGCTTTCATTACTAAATTTTATTGTTTTAAATCATTCATCATACAAAAATATGAATGTAGGGGAAAACCGTGCGTAAACCGAGTCTGTATGCAAAAGTTATGAAGAAAACAAGAAAACTGATGGGTTTTAAGCATAAAAATTATTTGTATGTATTCATGCAACCCTAATGCTTTTGATCTATGTTTTATGTAATTGAACATACAATAATGAACAACAAAGTACAAACCCTTGATCTATAGATAATAATCAGAAATCACATAATAAAGGTTATAATACATATCTTTAAGATTGTTATTGTAAACAATCTTGATTCCTTGCTTGAAAGACCTTTGGTAGCAAGCGCCACAAGTTTCGCACCTCTAATGCCTCACAAACAAACTCAAGCAACCAAGGAATACTTTAGAGAGAGAGGATTATAAGAGAAATTCCGGCCCTTGGCCTCAGGTTTCATAGCCGAAATTTAACCCTAATAAGGGTTTATATAGGTGTTAGGAAGGTATTGAATAAGGTAGGTGTATTCAACACAACCCGAATCCCTTAACCCGCATTTTCTACTTTAGCCAAGCCAATATTGTCATCCCATTTTAATTTATTGTTTGACTAAATTACCCTAAATGAACACGATTGGACAATAATTGTTCTCGCATTCCTCACCGGTTTTGTAGGCCCGGGAATTGGTCGGGAAAATGGTTTTGTAGGCCAGAAAAACCATCTATTTCTGAATCGTTAAAAACCAGCGGTATGGCGGTTTAGTCAGAAACTAGTATGGTTCGACCTGTCAAAACCAGATTTCATAATTTTTAAACTCTAAGAATAGGGTTAATACCATAAAAGCCATAAGTTTTACATCCCAATTCTAAATTATCCCTAAATGGATTTTTTGTGTCTAATTAGCCATTATGTATGTGTTGACTTTTGCCTCAAACCTTGTTAGCCGGTTTCCCTGGTTTCAGCCGGTTACCCCTTTACAAATAGGGGTTTTACCGTTTGAAACCCACCTTCCACCTCCTACTTCTACATTCTCTGACTTCTTCTTCCACGCATCAACTTCTTCATGGCTAGTTCATCTACAGGGTCTACAGGGTCAATGACTTCAGGATTTCAAAATGTTAATGTCAATTTCAGGAACAGAAACACCCCATGGTTTTGTGTCGTTGTGGTGTTGAGGCTAGCTTCTCAATTTCATGGATGGAAAAGAATCCTGGAAGAAAATTTTGGGGATGCACGAACTACAAGGTATGTTCTTCACTCTTTGATCCAGTATAAAGTTTTGTTATGGAACTAAGGGCAAATGTGTCATAAAAATGTGCAGGATCCTTCCAGGTATTGTAAGTTCTTCATGTAGTTGGACCCACCTTTCCCTAGTGAAGATTACAAAAACCTCATGTACCAAATGCATTTCGCTCTAGTTGGTATGGCTTATGGCAATGCTCAGTTGGAACAGGTGAATGTGGATCAAAATAGGAGGTTGATGTTGATGATGAAGCTTATGTTCATCATGGTCATGCGATTTGCAGTGATGTTGGTAACAAGGGTTGTATTGCTGGTGAAATTATAGGAAGTTAGGAAGTTAAGTTTAGTCTTTTGTGAAGTTGTTGGTTAGGTGAAATTGTATTAGATGCTTATTTTGGCACAGTTGTAATAGCATCTGAAAACATTTTGATGGTTGTAATATGGGTACCCTTGTAATACATAATCCTATGGGACAATTAATATGAAAAGCATTAACCAGAAATTGACAATTTACTATCCATTACAAACTGACATTGAAATTTGAACTTACTACAAACCACAATCTTTATAAACATAATAGCCAAATACATACATGGAGGGTAACAATCAGAACCAAACTTCCAATTTTACAACAATGTTTACAAGCCAAAAGATGATTTCCCAAAATGATAATGTTACTACAATTTACAATCAAAAGATAACATGTTGTCAACAAATTGGAATCTTGTTACCAAAAGATGCTTTCACAAAAAAGGGCTATCAAAAGATTTATGCCCAATTAACCCCCCATCCATAACAACATCAATCCAATGTAAGTGCTTTCTTAGTTGTTGAACCACCTCCATCTGGATCATGCACTGCTTTTTTCAACTTAATCTTGATAATTCTTTCTAAGGGCATCCTTTTTTTTACCAACGGATCTTGTGTTTCTTGACTGGTCTCTTCATCAACTATACTCTCAACCAACATCTCCTTCCTCTCTTTTGTCAACTGTGAATAAGCAATTAACATAAACATAATATCACATAATGTTCAAGAAAATTGTGTTAATAATTAAATTTATAACTACACACCTTATTAAAAGCTTCAACAATTTCCCCATGATCATATCCAGATGCCTGCAGATCTTTAATAGTTTCAAAATCTTCATGTTCAAGCTTTTGAAGGCAGGTAAGTACGGCTTCATCAACACCTGTCACATTTTGACTTATACTACCATGCACAAACCCCTATTATCCCTACATATTTGATCTTACTTCCCTCCTTGCCATCATCTTCATTCTCTTCAAAGGAAAAATTGACTGATCAACATCTATCATCTTACCTGCTTCTTTTGACGTGCCCTCAGTAGCTTTCATCTTTCACTCATTTGCTTCTTTTGATGTGTGATCAACAACTTTATTATGTCCCTCATTTGCTTCTTTTGATGTGCCCTCAACAACTTTCATTTTTCCCTTATCTACTTTCCTTGGTGTCTTTGCAATGTTCACATCTAAATTCCCTCCCCCATCTCCCTTTGGTCTACCATTTTTCCTTTTAAGGACAGGGTCACTAGGACCTTCTTCATTCTTACAAGACAGCTTATTATGACCAAGTTCCCTACATTTCCCACACCTAACAGTCTTGCTAACCTTTTCCTTTTTAGTTGGGAACTTAGAATCCTGACATTCTGAGGCATGTCTTTGTTTTTAGCCTTCCAGGCATTCTCCTAACAAGGGGTGGTAAGGGCCTCAAATATTCAGTATAGGGCCACATATTACTTCCATTAACAGGTAAGATGTTGTCCTTTTATGTCTCTATGAACTTGTCCTTATGGAACCAAAGGGAAATAAAATCAGTTGGATCTCTATGTGTGAAATTGATTGCAGCTTGAGCATGGACACATGGTAACCCTGATATCTCCCATAATCTACATGAACAAGAATGGGCATCTAAATCCACCTTGTAAGCTGAATATCCATGCCTTGTCTCAAATAATGCCCCTCCACTTGGTATTACTATCCAGAACCTAAAATTATAAGTAATTAGTAATGTACATGTATATACTTAAGATCACAATTAAAATCAAATAAGCATACCTCATATGCTTTCCAAACTCCTTAATCTTCTCTAAGGTGTTTGGGCCATAGTCACCTTTCCAGTGAGAAACTGTAGCAGCTTGATGATAAAACCTATTCATCAAATAAATCCTGATTTCCTCAAGCATTGTTAGAATTGGTTTTTTTTTCATGTGAATGATCATCGAATTAAAACACTATGATATGCCATTCTCTATAGCCTCACAAGCATATCCATGAGAGAAAAATGCCCTACACCAAGAATATGGTTTGTTTGACATCAGCCATTCATATCCATTAGGAGTTATGTATTTGATTTTCTTCATTGTTGCTATAAAGTCCCCCTCCACAGTACTTTTGGCAACTTCCCAAAACAGGTTCTTGAGCTCTAACCCAGTGTATTTCTTCCTAAAGTTTGCATAGATGTGCCTGGCACATTGTTTATGTTCAACATATGGAAGTAGTTCTGTAACAGCTTGTAGCAGATCCTGACATTAAATAAACAAAATTATTATAAATGTATAATAATTAAACAAATTTACAGTATAATTTACCTTGTGCTGATCGGAAATAACCACAAGACCCCTACCACAATCAAGGCCAAGATCAGCAACTAACAGCTCAATAAACCAAGTCCAATTATCTTTTTTCTCTACATCAATCACTGCCCATGCTATTGGATATACATGATTGTATGCATCTCTTCCAACAGCAGTCAAAAGTTCTCCCTTGATCTAACCCTTTATGAAACAACCATCCAAACCTATCACACGTCTGCAACCCTTATTCCAACCATCCTTAAAAGCCTTTAAGCACACATAAAACCTTTTGAAATAGTTCATGCCACTTGCATTAGAATATACTCCCACCTTAAAAGTGCTCCCTGGGTTAGACCTGAGGATTTCTGCAGCATAGTCCCATACATTTGCATAATCTTCTTCTAACTTACCTTCTATCATCTGTTTTGCCTTTGTCCTAGCCCTATGACATTGTCCCTTAGATACATTTAAAGAAAACATCCTAAGTACATATTCCTTTATCTCGGTTAATGTCATCTTTGGTTGCATAATAATATCCTTCAGGTAATGTTTGGCCAACCAGTTACAACTATCCAAAGTTCCAAAATTAAAATTTCTAGCACATAGATGTATGTCACATATAGATTTAATCTGAAATGTTCATTCATTATACTTCCAAGCATCATAAACTCTAAAGGGACATGGGTCTTTTTTATATATTTTCCCACACCTAGCAATCACTCTATGCCTATCACTCTTCATAAACAACAACTGATATCTATTAGCTATTGCATAGTTAGTTAATGCAAACCTGAGTTGAGAAGGGGACTCGTAACACTCTCCCACTACAGGCTTCATTTGTTTCCATTGTATGTCTGGATCATGAACCTTGTACTCTACACCTACTTCACTATCATTTTGATCATCAATGTGATCATGTTCTAGATCCTTAACACCAGCATCCTGATCATCATCTCCCATTCCATCAAGATTCCTCCTTAGCTTATTTTCATCACATAATATGTTAAGGAATGGGTCATCAGACAGGTTTGAGCTTGGTTTAAAGGTCTCTGGTGCAAAATCCAGGAAAGAGAAACCTATGAGATCATCATCAGAGTCCTCATCCCTTACATAAACCTTTTCAGGCCCTTTCAACTTTTTAGTTCCAGATGAAGAAGCCATTTGTTCAAGATGAAAAATTATACTTGTAAGTGACACTATGGAACTCAATTATGTAAGATAAGAACACACATAAACATCAATTTCTTATTGGCACCCCACGTACATTTCTACTTCAGTGATTTTCAACTTCAAAATAGAAGCTTTTTTGCATGCAACAATGGTGTAAGAAACCCTTTTCAAACCCTTCTTCTTCCTAAGACCAACTACATGAAACCCTTTTTTGATGCAAGACGTTTCTGTGAAAGGTGATATTTGGTGGTGTACGAACGATCGAGTAGTATAAGAGAGTGGTGATCGGCTGCGTACCTTGACCTGTTGTTAACTGGCTGATAAAACGATTTTGAAACGGAGTCACAATTATTTAGGCAAATTAGACACAAAAAATCTATTTATAGCTAATTTAGAATTGGGGTGTAAAACTTATGGATTTGTGGTATTAACCCTTAAAAATACTACAAACTTTGGATGCATTTCAAAGGAAACGCCAAGTTTAGTCCCTGTGGGCCCTTTTTGTTTTGAGTACAATGCCCATGCAATTACGAAATGGTGGGAGGAGTTTAAATAATGAAGGCAGACCTCTATTCTTCTTGTCGATGTGGGATAAATTTCCATTCTCACTTCTATCTTATCTTACTAAATAACTTTTCACCTCTTTTTAATTTTGATGTCAAGTCATTTTAATATGAAATTAAACCATCCACATTTCCTTTGAACTTAATTCCTAAGACTTTTTTTGTGAGATATGTTCGACAATATCTAACATGATTATATATATATATACATATATATATATATATATATATATATATATATATATATATATATATATATATATATATGAGATCAGTTAAGAACACATAGTTTCCCAAGAGCCCGAGAACTAAAAATGAAGCGTTAGATCAAAACTAATTCATTAAGGGTATGATCGTAATCTTATCAATCACAATTAATGTTTAATTATTTGTGTTATAGTAAAGATTAATAAAAATGTCTAAAAATTACGTAATAAATCAAAATTTCGGATTTTTTAGAAATAGTATTTTTTTCAGTTTTTTTTTTTTAAAGTGAAGATTTTTTAAGTTTTTTATAGAAAACATGAATTTTTGAAAAAAAAATTAAAAAATATATTTTTTTAAACTGCAATTTAGAAAAAAAAAAATTAAAAACCTGGAATATTTAAAAAATACTATAATTTTTTAACCAAAAAAATCAACATTTATGCATATTTTTACAAATGCATATATGCATATTTCATATACTATAATATTTGTAAGGAAATTATAAGAAACTTATTTTATTTACTAATCTATAAATACAATATAATAAGTATTTTATTCGATACAATATAATATATAAAAAACAAAAAAAATGCTACAAAATTTCAAAGTGTTTTCATGTCTTCGTGTCAATATTTTCATATTTTCTTCAATTTAACATTTTTCACCTCTTCAATATTCACCACGATTTCTTTCAAATCTACAAAAAAATTAAAAAGAAATTGATTGATGCAAAAACACTCACAAAAATACATATGTGATTCACATGTAAATCACATGTGATTTACATGTGAATTACATGTAATTCACATGTAAATCATATGTGAATCACATTTAATTCATATATGAATTACATGTGATTCATATGTGAATAACATGTGATTTACATGTGAATCACATGTGATTCGCATGTAAATCACATGTGATTCATAGGTGAATCACATGTAATTCATAAATGAATTACATGTGATTTACATGTGTATCACATGTGATTCATATGTGATTTACATGTGAATCACATGTAATTCATATGTGAATTACATATGATTTACATGTGAATCACATGTAATTCATATGTGAATCACAAGTGAATTACAATATGAAATATATTAAGCTATTCTATGTTGCACGGTTACGAATATGGGTGATCATGTTTGAAATGTTTCATCCAATAGATTTTATATTTTTTAAAGCCAATACTAACCATGGTTTCATTACTCCATCATAGTGTATAATTGTTTCCTCCTCGATACTTCATGCTTGGTTCTAGAATGATACCCCAATCCATGAACATGCCTTTTTCGCTCCAATCCATTGTTTGGTTGTAGAATGTCACCCAACCTAATAATTTAATAGATATTGAGTTGTTCATTGATTTCAACGACTTTGCCAGAAACAAGAGAGTTAATATCACTAGTATATAGCTTAGTTACCTTACCCCTCCGTCATCATCATGACACATATAGATAATATTGATCCACCTTTAAACATACTCATCTAGTAATTGGTACTTGCCATGATAGGAAAGCAAATGAACAGAAAAAAAATCACAACAATCCTAGTTTATTTATGTCGAATGCACGATTAATATTTCAAGAGAGAGAGATACAGCTTAATTACATGTATTATTATAAGTCCATAATTATCATCATAGTTAAACTAAATTTTTTCTTGTAAACAATGGACCTAAAGTTCATTTGTTCTTCTAAGTAAGCCTGAAGGTTCTTCATGTACTCCCTTTTGAAGCCTTTTGAACATAACATAATTCTGTCATTTTGCAAAAAGATAATGCCATTTTTTTGTGAAATTGGCTAAACATAAGTAGTTGTTTGAAATGTAAACAAAATTAGGTTCAAAAAAGTTGGTTAAGGTGTTTGGATTTTAGGAAAATCACATGACTTTAAGTCCTTTAAAGTCACGACATCACGTTGTTGAATAGGAGCCAAGATTTTTGCCAAACACACGAATCTAACATCAACCATAACAAATTTCTGCAGTATAAAAGCACACCCAACTTCAATATTAGCACAATATGACCAATACTAATAAACAGTGGTAGCTAAGAGTGACAAGATATAGTGAGAGACTACTAATTTCTGAAAAACATACCCTAAATTTCTTATTTTCCTCCATAATAATGCATAAATACTGTTCTTTGATCTGTGACAATTGACATCGATTGACATATGTGAAAGGCATAATTGATTAGGGCATTTTGGCGAACACATGGAAGATGTAAATCATTTCAAACAAACTTTATAAAACATGCCTAGCTCAAAACAAAGAGATACATTAAACATATATGAGATTGATTGACACCAAAATCGAATGATGGATAATCAATATGTATTGAAAATGAAACAAACCAGAGAAAGAAATGTAGGCTAGTAGAGAAACAAAACTATTAACCTAGAGTCATCAGAGAGAAGAGAAGCAAAACTATTAACCAAAGAAAGAAAACTCACCAGATTTATAACGATGGCGTATGTCCGCTTTACGAACCCTTAATCGGTCCTTGGATATGCCTCTGATCCTTCGGAGTCACATAACTTTATCCCATTGATAATCTGAGGCTTCATAACACTAAGATTTTAGAAGCACCAAAAGGATGAAGGATTGGATGCGATTCGACGGATGAGGTCCGAAGACGATGGATCGTGGGTTCCCAAAGAGCGAGAGAAGGAGAGGATATATATATATATATATATATATATATATATATATATATATATATATATATATATATATATATATATATATATATATATATATATATATATAAAAGTCTAGTTTATCAGATATTAGATTAGATTTAGGATATGATTTAATTATATTGGGTTTCCTATAACACCCCTCACTCTTTTATTTACGATACCCTTATTTTTTAGTTTTCAACTTATTTACAAAAAAACGTCACCTTGCATCTCGACCCTTCTTCTTTTTTTTATCTAACGTTCCACTTTTAGTTTTCAGGTTCTCGGAAAACTATGAGCTTTTAAATGATCATTCCTCATATATATATATATATATATATATATATATATATATATATATATATATATATACACTAGTAGTGTACACGCACGATGCGGCGTAGTTTTCTATCATGTTTCTGGATGATAATCGGATACCTTTTGATAGGTTGTTTGGGGTTAAAATAAAATTGTGTTATTGTTTTGTAGGGGTGAGCAAAGGTATTGAATTTTTCGACACAAATCGGCACCGTCATATTAATACTAATATAGGACGATAATTGGTACTCTAGTTTTTTTTCGTATATTAGTTTTATCCAGAAACATACCGCATTCCAAAAAACATGTGATGTATATACCAATATCATTTATAATTATTATGGCACATAGTTGTTTTGGGTTAAAGATAGTATATACTTTGTTTTAAATTTAATATATATATATATATATATATATATATATATATATATATATATATATATATATATATATATATATATATATATGACAAAATTGCAAAAATGGTCCCTGTGGTATGCATTTTTTTGGGGTTTTAGTCCAAACAGTAACTTTTTTGGTTTCATAGGCCTTTTGGACTACTTTCATTGTAGAATTGGTCCCTGATAATCTTGAAAAGACTATATTGCCCTTTTAATTTGTTTTTTCCATTTACATAAATACTTTTTTTCTTTTATTTAATTATAAATGTTAAATAAAATCAAGAATGGGACATCTCTCTCTCTCTCTCTCTCTCTCTAGAAACTGATTTAATGGCGGATAAGAGCAAAGACCTACAGCGATCGTGGAATCATCGTCAAAAACATTTCTCTACCCACTTCACGAAATCGCCATGACTCCAACCCACAAGCTTCTGTTAAAGCAATCGCTTGAAGAAGAACTGATCCTGAATCGAATCGATCTCAAAGAATATTACTCCAATTCTTCCTCCAAGCGCAGGAAAAGCCTCGACAGGTCTAACTCCATACGGAAAATGGTCATGGCGCCTTAAAAAGATTTCCAAGCATCAGCAGTGAGTGAGAATTAGCAAGGGATTCATATTCAAATTCCTTAAGAGATGATTGCTCAGAGACATTTGAATTAGGGTTCAAAGACAATGGCGAGAAGAAATAGGGGAAGAAACCAAGACGATGGAGATGGAAATTATGGGGTTCATCCACCGCTATGGAGGATCCAACAAAGACGACGACGACACTTTCAGCAGAGTAAATGGCGTCGAAAGATTATACTCAAAATCATGGCAAGATCGAACAAAATCAAAAGGGGGATTTAACAAAAAGGTATTACGAAGCAACAGTTGTGTAAGTTAGAGAAATTCTTCATTCAACACCACCAAGAAACTAAACTCTGAAACCAACGGGAAGAACAAGAGAGTTGGAGGAGATGAATTTGTTCTTGAGAGGAATCAAAGTGCAAGATATTCACCAAATCACACATATAGTGGACTCCTTCTTTTCTACTTGAGGGGGTCTACATCTGGATCATGCAACCGATCATGGATCCCATCTCTCTGTTCGCTCCTCTGTTCTCTGGGATTAATCTGGGTTGTTCGTTACAAGACAAACACAGAATCACATCTGGAGAAATTACTGGAGAGGGAGAAAGAAGATGGGAAGATATTGGGGAAGTGTGTGGAGGAATTGAAGAAGAAAGGTTTGGAGTTTGATTTGTTGAAGGAAGTTGATGCACTTCGAAGGGCTAAAAGTTTGAGGGTTGAAGGTAAAGAAGTGAAGAAATGGTCAACGAGAGACTCTGTTACTCTGTTTTTCTTCACTGTTTCTTGTTTGGTTCTTGCTCTTACTAGGGTCATTCTCTGCAATTGATCCAAAATGGTGATATGGGTTTTAATTTTTTTGATTACTTAAGTGGGATTTGGGTTTCTGGTTTGACATTGCATAAGTATCTATGAGTGTGTTTTGGCAGAAGTGGGATTTCAGTTGCTGTTTGATTTTGTTGATTTTAGGATGAAGGTGTTTGGATGTTTGTTACTTTGTTTTTAAAGTGATTGATACGATTTTAGGAATCTTGTATACATGATCATTTGGTTTGATTTTTGGATGAAGGTGTTTGGATGTTTTGATTTCGTGCCTCTTTTTCTTCCGATCAGCCATTGCCAAATCCCCAACTGAGAGAGAGAGAGAGAGAGAGGTCTTATTCTTCATTTGATTTAACATTTATAATTAAATAAAAGAAAAAAAGTATTTATGTAAATGGAAAAAACAAATTAAAAGGGCAATATAGTCTTTTCAAGATTATCAGGGACCAATTCTACAATGAAAGTAGTCCAAAAGGACTACGAAACCAAAAAAGTAGTCCACAGGGACCATTTTTGCAGTTTTGCCTATATATATATATATATATATATATATATATATATATATATATATATATATATATATATATATATATATATATATATATATATTATCGTTTGATTTTTCGGTTCCAGTTTTTTGGTTTTAAGTTTCAAAGAATCATTATTGGTTTCTTTTTACTTTTTTTAGTTTTTTAGTTTTCGATTTAAAGATTAAGTGGATGAAATATCATTTTTATGTAAAAAAAATCTTATGTACTTCTTTTGAGTTTTCGTTTAATATGTTCAAAATAAAATAAATCATTATTATATTCAAAAGAAATATCTACTTTAATTACTAAAATATTCTTTAATAATCATGGTTAAAGTTATCATCCTCTACTAATTCGAATCGCTGGGGGGGGGGGGGGGGGGGGGGGCTAACATTAGCCAAAGCCGTCCTTGGTAGCCTTCCAACATTTTACTTTTCCTTGTTTGTTGCTCCAGCAAGTGTTATCAAGACTTTGGAAAAAATTAGGCGAAGATTTCTATGGGGTGGTGCGGACGAGAAAAAACATATAAATTGGATAGCTTGGGATAAGGTGACTGCCCGCAAAAAGGATGGTGGTTTGGGATTAGGCTCGCTTAAATCTCTCAATTTGTCCCTAATTGTGAAATGGTGGTGGAGGTTGAGATTCGAAAAAGCATGCTTATGGACCAATGTCATAAAAGGGATCCATAATCTTCATAATAAACCTTCTGCCTTCATGTCTAAAAAAACAATACCTGAAGTATGGAAAAATGTCACCGGAGTTTAAGAAGTACTGGCAAAACTTGGAATTGGTATAAATGATATAATCTCAAAAAAAGTTGGCAATGGGGATGACACCATGTTTTGGCAGGACAGATGGATTGGAGAAGCAATATTAAAGGAATCCTTCCCGGAATTATACAAGTTGGAACGGAAAGAACGGTGTAAAATAAGTGATGGTATCCAACCCGGAGGGATTAGATGGGATTGGAAATCAAACCCGGCTCTCATGTCTCAGCTCAGTGAGGCTGACATGGTCCGCAACATTCAACGGAATTCACAGAGAGATGAATGAATATGTAACATATAAAGTGATAAGGTATTTCGTGTTGATGTACTTAGATCAAAAATCGATGGGAAAGATACAACAACACCACCAGGGGAAGGTCTAATAAACTGGATTCATGAAGTCCCTTTAAAGGTGAAATGTTTTATGTGGAGGGTAGCTATGGACCGTATTCCAACTGCTACCGCCCTGCTTAAGCGCGGTGTGCAAATTGGGACCTCCACATGTTCCTATTGTAAGTCGGAAGATGAAGACGCCGCCCACGTGATACTAAGATGCCCAATGGCTGCCAAGGTTTGGGAATGGGTGTTTATCTGGTGTGGGCTACCTGGAACAAAGTTTGGGTCAATTAGTGAGCTTGTGAAACTTCTTACACAATGGGGTACATGTCCAAATAAAGAAAAAAAATCTTAATTAGCATATGCTATGGAACGGCCTGGCTCATTTGGAAAGCAAGGTGTGATCGGACCTTCAAGAAGATTCGAACCTCCCCTACCATAGTGGCAGATATGGTAAAATCCATAGTCTTCTCAGGGATAAAACGCAGGAGAGTCGATTGTAATTATTGTTGGGTGGAATGGTGTATTAACCCCTTTCTTTGCCTGTAATTTTCTCCTCTAAAACCTTGTATTTCCCCTAGCTCCTTGCTAGGGTTTGTTTATTTTGATTAATATTAATTTTCGGTTCCAAAAAAACTAATTCGAAATTATTGTCCCGAAAGAATTTGGTTAAATTTGAGTTAACTAATCTTTCTTCACATCCCTATAAGAAAAAAATGTAACACCCCAAAAATATGAGCCAAAAATTTCATTTTTAAAACGTGTGCTTAGCCAAAACATTAGGAATAAAACGTTCAACAATCATATAATTTCACAAAAGATATTGCATGTCTGGAAAACATTTTTATAAAAACAGAAACGTGTCAGAGTACAAATCCCCGGGTGATATCATAATGCGGAATATAAACATGTGTGTGATGTACCGCTACCGCGCCAGCTCCTTACCCTTCGAAGAAGAGGTACCTGAAATCAAAACTAAAAACTGTAAGCACGAAGCTTAGTGAGTTCCCCCATCATACCACCTACCATACAATCACATATCATACATATTTCCAAGAATTTTTGGGGTTCCCGGCCTACCCGGTACGGCCATTCTGGGGTGCCGACCTACCCGTGTCAAGCCATTCTTGGGTGCTAACTACCCATGTCAGGCCATTCTGGGGTGCTGACTACCCATCGGTCCTAACAATCGATCCTCAGGGACTATTTCACCCCCTATTGCTACTGTCACATATATCATAACATAACATATTATCAGACATATCTGGGGTGTCCGATCTACCCTTCGGTCCTAACGACTGAACTTGGGGACTATTCCCCTCCTACTACCACTATCTCATATAACATATCATGCCAGCATATAAACATCTCATTGCATACTGTCAAATATATCTGGGGTGTCTGACCTACCCTTCGGTCCTAACAACCGAACTCTACTACTATCACATATACATATCATGCCAGTATATAACATATCAGGTAGTAGCAAACCTAGATGATATCACAAAGACAATCATCTAACATACAACTCCTAATGGTGGGTCGGCATTGTGGTCGTAGACACACCGCTACTGGAAGATAACTCACCTCGTAGTAGCTGTTGATCTGTGTGGGAATGGTCTGTCTGCTGCTGCTGCTCCGGAAGTCCTCCGGCTGCAATTCCCACCAAACACTTAGTCAAATACTACTAACTAGCCTCAGGGTAAACTAACCATTTACCCTTAACCAAACCATGAGTTAAAGTCAAAGTCATCTTCCAGTTGACCCGACTCGCCGAGTTGGCCTGTCAACTCGCCGAGTACCTATCCCTTTGTCTGACCACTATCCCGTCTCTACTCGTCGAGTTTGGCATTCACTCGACGAGTTTTCCTTCTAAGCTAAAGGCCAATAGTCCTTCATCTTACTCGCCAAGTTTTATGAACAACTCGCCGAGTTCTTCTTCATCCGATGAACACTCTATGCTGGGACTCGCCGAGCTGTATGAACAACTCGCCGAGTCTGTTCTTGAGGCAAGAAGATTGCCCTGAACTCGCCGAGTCATGGCATTGACTCACCGAGTTACTACATGAGTGAGTCTGGCTTCCAACCCAATGAGTCACACCCTATGACTCACTACTCCAACCCGAAAACACGAAAAGGGGAAAACTCGGGGACTCGCTACTCGACTCGCCGAGTCGGCCACATGCAATTACTATACACTCGATTTTTCTTGAATCCAGCTCATGCCATTCACAGATTTGGGTTTCTAGGGCATGGATTACACGTAAAGTTTCCAACTTTACGTGTAGATAATCACCAATGAAGGTTTTAGGGCTCAAAATACACCAAAAGGGGTAGATCTAGGGCTTTCATGCAATATGACTCCATAAAAGCAATAGATCCAAGCTCCAGGGACTCAATCATGCCTAGATCTAGAGGCTAACAACTTATTACAACCCACAATGCACAAACAAGCTTGGGGAATGGCTCAAGAATGACTTTCATGTAGCTAATAGAGACTACAAGCATGAAAACAGAGGGGAAACGAGTTATACCTCAAGGAAAACGCTGAGATGACACAAAGATGCCTAGCCTCCTTCTCCTCTTCTTGATCTACTCTTCTTTCTCCTCAAAATCTTCAAGAACACACCAAAACACTTCAATCTCACAAGGAATAAGGGTATAAACGATGTTGGGAGCTCTGAGGGTGAAGGGGGCGAGCTTAGGGGCAGATAAGAGGGTTTAAATAGGGTGCAAACCCTTAAAATTTAGGGTTTCATCAAACAGCAGGGACTCGCCGAGTCCAGAATATGGACTCGCCGAGTCGCCAACTTAAATGCGTTCCGGACCCCGTCCCTACTCAGCGAGTCGGACCTACAACTCGCCGAGTCCAAGGCTAAAAATGACAAATACTTAGATAAATTTTACGTACCAGGAACCAGGTGCTACAAATCTCCCCCACTTATTCTAGATTTCGTCCTCGAAGTTTGCCGCTCGATCCTGAAACAACTCGGGGTAATGCTCCATCATTTCTTCCACCGGCTCCCAAGTCCATTCTGAACCCTTGCGGTGCTACCATTGCACCTTCACTAATTCCACCCTCTTGTTCCTTAGATCCTTCGACTTCCTGTCGAGGATTGTGACTGGGCGCTCAATGTAATTCAGGCTATCATCAACCTGTATATCCTCTAACAGCACCACCACTGAATCATCCACGAGGCACTTCCGCAGCTGGGAGACATGCAAGGTGTTGTGGATCTGATTGAGCTCGGCTGGCAGATCCAGCCTATATGCCACCTTGCCCACCCGGGCTACAACCCTGAACGGACCAATGAATCTCGGGCCCAACTTGCCCCGCTTCCTGAATCGAATGACGCCTCTCCAAGGCGACACCTTCAGGAGAACCATATCCCCGACCGGGAACTCCAGGTCTGATCAGCGCTTGTCGGCGTAACTTTTCTGCCGACTCTGCGCAGTCTGAAGCCTGCTTCAAACCTGCTGGATCCTCTCGGTCGTCTTGAGCACCACCTCAGTGCTCCCCATGACCCTCTAGCCAACTTCACCCCAACATATCGTGGTCCTACACCTCCGTCCGTACAACATCTCGAATAGGGGATGGCCAATACTCACGTGGTAGCTGTTGTTGTACGAGAACTCAGCCAAGGGAAGATAGGTATCCTAGCCACCACCGAAGTCTAACACGCATACCCATAACATATCCTCCAAAGTCTGGATGGTCCGCTCACTCTGACCATCCGTCTGCAGGTGAAAGGCGGTGCTAAAATGTAGACGAGTGCCCAACTCGTCATGAAACCTCTTCCAAAACCTGGAAGTGAACTGCACATCTCGATCTGATATCACGGACACTGGCACCCCGTGCCGCGCCACTATCTCCCTGATATAGATATCGACCAACTTTTCGGCCGAGATACTCTCCTGAATCGGAATAAAATGGGCGCTCTTGGTCAACCGATCCACGATGACCCAAATCGAATCTACTCCTCGCGCTGTTCGTGGAAGCTTAGTGATAAAATCCATCGTAATGTCCTCCTATTTCCACAACGGGATATCCAACGGCTTCATCTTGTCGTGCGGTCTCTGATGCTCGGCCTTGACCTTCCTGCAGGTCAAACACCGCTCGACGTACCACGCCACATCCCGATACATCTTCGTCGCTCGTGGATGAATAGAGAATCGGGATTTGTGCGCCTCCTCCATCAAGATCTGGCGCACGCCTCCATGATACGGCACCCACACCCTACGGTGTAGTATCAATAACCCCCTGGCTATCATAATCGAAGGAGGTGACTTGACCCACTATTCGCTCACTCTTCCGATGCTCCTCCTTCATAGCCTCCTGTTGAGCCTCCCGAATCTGTTCCAACAAGGGTGTCACCACAGTCATCCTCATGCAAACATCCTTGATCGGCGGTGCCTTGCGGCTAAGCGCATCGGCCACCACATTGGCCTTCCCCGGGTGGTAAAGGAGCTCACAATCATAATCCTTCACCAAGTCCAACCACCGACGCTGCCTCATGTTCAGATTCGGTTAATCCATGAGGTACCTCAAACTTTTATGGTCTGTGTAAATGGTACATCGAAACCCGTAGAGGTAATGCCGCCATATCTTGAGGGCGAAGACCACCGCCCCCAACTATAAATCATGCATCGGGTAGTTCGCCTCGTGAGGCTTCAGATGCCTCGAGGCATAAGCAATGACATGACCCCTCTGCATCAATACCGCGCCTAAACCTGAGATGGACGCATCACAATATACCACAAAATCCTATACGCCCTCGGGCAGGGCTAAGATTGGCGCTTCGCACAATCTCTGTCTCAGAATCTCGAACGTTGCCTGCTGCTCAGGCCCCCATCGAAAGACCACGACCTTCCTAGTCAACTGTGTCAGGGGTACGGCTATCTTAGAGAAATCATGAATGAATCTCCGATAGTATCCTGCTAATCCTAGGAAACTCCGAATCTCGGATGGAGACTTCGGGACCTCCCATCTCATCACAGCCTCCACCTTGGCCGGGTCTACTGAAATCCCGTTCTAGTTGACGAGGTGCCCAAGAAACTGCACCTCGCGCAACCAAAACTCACATTTGGAGAATTAGCGTACAAGCTCTCCCTCCTTAAGGTTTCCAAAACCTCTCTCAGATGCTC